TAGTAGTAGTAGTAGTAGTAGCAGTAGTAGTAGTAGTAGTAGTAGTAGTAGTAGTAGTATCAGCAGCAGTAGTAGCAGTAGTAGCAGCAGTAGTAGCAGTAGTAGTAGTAGTAGTAGTATCAGCAGTAGTAGTAGTAGTAGCAGTAGTAGCAGCAGTAGCAGTAGCAGCAGTAGTAGTAGTAGAAGTAATAGTATAAGTATTAGTAGTAGTTGTTGTAGCAGCAGTTTTAATAACAATAGTAGTAGTAATAGTAGTATTAGTAGTAGTCGTAGAAGTAGTAGAAGTGGTCGTATCAGTAGTAGTAGTAGTAGTAATAATATTAACAATAATAATAAGAATAATAATAATATTATTACTAGTATTATTTATTTTATTGTTTAGTTGTTAAACACAGATGTCGCAAGTTAATTTTTAAACCTTCAAAATATAAATCTTCCCTAACCGATTGACTGCTTGCCAGACTGACTCAATCATCATCCTCGTCGTCATCATCAATTGTTTCTAATCATTCTGCTGATGGCTTAGTCGCCTATAGACAATCAAAAAAAATATTATATAACTATAAATTAGTGAACTTTTTTTCATAACAACACGTGCTTGTGTACTGAATGTGTGTGTGAATGTGTGTGAATGTGTGTGCGTAGATGTGTGTGTGTGTGAATGTGTGTGTGTAAATGTGTGTTTACGTGTGTGTGTGTTTACGTGTAAATGTGTGTTCGTTTGTGAAAGTATGTGTTATTAAAATTATTCATACTTGAAGTAAGCAATATACAAAAAAGTAATATACAGAAGATGTTGGTTGCGAGTACCTTTAGTCGAGTCAACCAAATCCATCAACAATGTCTGTATGTTTATTTCTGTCTGTGCGTGTGCATTTCTGTATGTTTGTATGTATCTGTGTAGGTTTTTAAGTATATGTGTGTGTACATATATGTACGTGTATACAGAAGAGCGTGTGATTATTTTTACATTGCCGGCAAGATAGATTTGTATCGATCGGATGAAAAATATAACAATGACAAAAATGTAATTTAAAAATTCAATTTAATAAATTATCTTACACACACACACACACACACACACACAAACACACACACACACACACACACAAACACACATAAGTTCTCTTCCATTTCATTTAAACGTTGTTTAATTTCTGTCAGAACATTATGTGTGTGTTTGTGTGTGTGTGTGTGTGTGTGTAGGTGCGCTAAACACATACCTTCATGTATTTAAAAATATTCTGAAAACACTTGAGCAAATTAAATAAAAATTAACATATGTTATTGGAAAAAAGTCATCATGTTTTCAACATCTGTTCATTGACCGCTGGCGATTTTTAGCGCCAAAAACTCACTCAAACTTGCACACGTCCCCTCCTGGCTATGAACTGTCCTTAGTGGTCACCTAAGAAATCTGACATCAACACGAAAGCACAGTGCAGTAGTTGGTTGAAATTCAGTGAGTCCAACATGGAAATCAATCTTATTGAATGTCGGACAATTATTATTTCAGGATCAAACTAAAATATTTCATTGTATCAAATCCGATTTAGTTAAAGGGATTAACAGCATCAGAAGCAACGGAGATTGCAATTGAACTGCTTACACGATAATTTTTTCTCATTACGATTGTGTTTGCAGTTGTTAATGTTGATTTAGTATGTGCTCGAGTACCAATGTTACAACATAGGAACTTTCACAATAGAGAGAAGGACAGTTTAAACTATGAATGGTCAGCAACTGGTACGTTTCTCCCTTCTAAACATAGCATTTTTCATTTCCGAGGAGAATACTGGTTTAAATCGCTGGCTTTAAAAGATGACACCGAAACAAAAATGTAATACAACTGAATGGGCAAAGAAAAAGTTAACTTTTCATATACCAAATATTTCTGGAAAACTTGACGGGGAAATAACTGACGTTGTCTCATCTGTCTCGTTGTTGTGGATCGTTGAATAGAACTTTTTTAAAAGCTTTTTGAAAACCTGTCGAGCTATGTTGTCAATTCTTTTTAGTTCTCCCGGCTGATCATTCCAAATTTGTACTGGCGATACTATGAAAATATTAAAATTATCTATTCTCTACTCCTTGTCTCACAACTCGGCAAATATTTCAACAATGATATCAGCGCCTTGACCATTAAAAATTTATTGGGCACGCTAAGAGGGAATATTTTCTGATTCCGAACCCAAACATTCCAACGCGAGACTGACTGTTTGTTGAACCAATGTAATGCTATTCTGTTGATAATTTTCAGGAGCAAGCGACAATGAGAGTAAGAGGACATAGAAAGCTATGGGGCTGCAGTCTTACAATAAAAAAATGTGTATCAATATCTTTGTCCGAAATTGATTTTCAATAAATCAAAACAAATCTAAACTACTATCACAGAAAAATCTCTGACTACGTCACGGGTGAACAACTGACTAGAGATCCCACGGTAGGAAAATGTTTCCTTGATTGAACATAAAAAAGTGAAAAAAAATCAAAGAAAACCAAATAATATAATATAACAGATCATTTTTCATGAGTTTGTGTGAGTTTGTGTGTGAATGTAGTACGTCACTTTTATATCTGTATACAGTATGTACGATATAAAGAAAAGCCTGCATATTTTATTCAATTCGTGGTAAAGTTGTGTCATATGTAACTTAACGTATGGCTTAAATTCTACTATTGTCTTTTGAGGTTGTTTCTGTTAGGCTAGGATGTGTGTACGTGTTTTGCATTTTCAATTTGTACATTCACTTTTGTATGTTTATCCTTGTTTGTGTGTACGACGTTTGTACTTGGGATGTTATGTATTATTGCAATACTTAGTGAGGCTGCTACAGATGTGTACCTTTCAGCGTATGCGTGTCGTGATGTAAGGAGCAAAGGTTAGCGATGTGTATCTATATCTATATCTGCTGTTCATGTGATGGTGAAGATGATGAGTGAGGATCACTGCGAGTATGATGCCAGGATGGTGATCATCAATGATGTAATGATGATAATTTGGTGAAAACAATATGAATTTTTGAAATAAAACTCTGGAGACGAGAATTATATGATATGTTGTAATTAGTTACAATGAAAATAAGGGTAAAGATAAGAAGATGTGGTACTAATAAATACAAAGAGAACAACAAATTGTCTGAATTTTAAACCAACACACATTCATAATCGGATTTAGCATGGTAATATTCAAACATCATTCTAATTATTCTATACGAGGTATTCTTAATTTTTCCTACAACGTGTATTAAAACTCTACAATGAAAACATTCATTATGTATTATCAGCTAATGACAAATGTAGATTGTCCATAGACACGTGATATTAACATACACCGAATTATTTTCCAACATTTGACAAAATTTAAGCATGTAGAAAAAATCCTATTACTAAAACAAAGACTTATACTAATAAAAAATATTAATTTTATTAGTATAAAATTTAATTATAATTTAATTAATAATTTTAATATTATAAGTAATAATATATATATATATATAAATTAAATTTTTATATATTCAAACATTTTAACATTGGAGACACTTTGAATATATAAAAATTAAAACAAAAATGTAACAATATAATAATAAAAATAATAGTTGATAATAATTGATAATAATAATAAATAATAATAATAATAATTAATAATAATAGGAATGATGTGTGTTTAATACAGCGTCAAATAATACAATGAAAAATAAGGAGCAAGAATGTGACTCAGCAGGTGCTAGGTTGAATAAAAACCTTTGGACGAATTCTGAAAAATATATTTTGTCTGAATCATAAAAAAAATGTTTGTGTCGTTATTGGCGATTAAATGATACAATTTTAAAAGATTGTTACAAAAATAATAAAAAATCTATAAAAATAAAAATGTTTATTATATGTAGGTATAACATGATTATCGGGTTTAAAATTAGAAATAGGATTATTTTACATAAAATAATTTTTCCAAATTTGAATTTTTTTAAATTTATTTCCCACCAAAACGCGAATTATCTTTTTTTTTCTAAAAACAAGTTTATTCATGTGAATAATGAAATAAAGTAAAAAAAAATAAAAGAAATAAATCTGAAAATCTTTCACGAATTGTCGAGCGAGACAGCTGAGAGGTTTGACAAAAGAGAAAAAGAGATAGGGGTTATATAGAGTGGAGAAGAAGGAGAGAGAGAGAGAGAGAGAAACGTGATGACAAAACGAAATCTGGTGAGATAGGGAGGAGGAAAAGTGAGAGAATTGTCTAAGACGAGGCATCTTTATAATGGAAAAAAGCTGCTTGCTTTATATTCCCATCTTATATGTTCATATATTTACGCACACATATTTATATACATATATACACAACTAACTTGACAATCATAACCGCTCTCCAACTATGGATCTATCTCTCTATTTTCATTCCTATACATGCCCTGACAAATGTATGTACCTACAAACGCCCTATTTGATGTATAGCCAAGTAACTGAATGTGAATATGAGAGGTGATAGCACTGGGTATGGAGATGTATGCAGATGGTCCTACAGTAAGTTGTCTTGCAGTTGTACAGGGAGAAGGCAATCTGCTGTCGATCGTGCCAACTCAGCTGCCGCTTCAACAACGGAAATTCTCAGGTTCGGATGGATTAGGTTCAGGCCGGCCTTTCTATAACGAAATTGATTCAAGAGAATTGTATAGGAACGGCCGATACTAAGAAATCAGTTAATAATTTTAATATATTTTATTATTAACGGAATTTCTTATATCGTTCCGGAGCGGATAACGCAACAATTTTGTTGTTGGGAGCGACGACCATCACCTACAGAATGAGTCGTCAGCAGATTATCACCGGTCTGCTCTGGATTGGAGTTTTAATTGTACACGCCAGCGCTCAGGTTGGTCGTCTTTCTTTCTATTTTAATAACAACCTTGCCAATTTTTTGCAATTTTAGTTCAAATTTTTTTTTAAATATTTTTTGCCATTTTCGTGTGCTGAAATAATTGGTTATCATTTACATTGGTTCAATTCAAGAAACTTTCAAATATTAGAAGTTTTTTAATTTTCATACTACTCGCAAAACTGTTAGATAGCTCCACATAACAAATATAAGCTTAACTTGATAATCTTCAAGTTAGCGTCGTTACATAAGAAATTGACCTAACACTACAAACAACCATAGCTCATTAATAACATATCATTTATAATGTTAAAATGCCCTGAATTTTAACAACTAAAAATATGAATAAAGGTAATAATAATGACAGAACTACTATTGTAATTAAAATTTTGCCTGCTTCACAATACAATATGAGTTGAAACAAAATAAAACGCCATCTACCAGTCGTTTATTCCTTTATCTATTTTCGCAAACTGAACTCCACGCGTTGCACCTAATTGTGCATGCATGTATCAACACATGCATGCACATGTCTTCCTCTTGGTCAATCAATTGACAAGCGTCATTATTTGCCATCATTTGCCCGTGTACTTTCTTCAAATTCTACAAGTTATTATTGTTATAACTAACACAATTAAAATTAACCTTAAAGTGTACTTCAGTCTCATATGTGCCAGTGCTCACAGCAACGTACGGACGAATTACAGCAAGTAACCTAGGCATGTTTCCAACTGATGTCAAGAAACTTTCTTATGATAAGTGCGTGAAGTCTTCCTAGCAATGCTATTTTTTCCAAGTACTTGAAAGCGGACGTCAGCTGGGATTTCATTTAGATGTTCCTCGTGTTGTTTCACCACACTATCCTCAGTGCACTCCCTGCTACTGAAACTTCCAGTGTCCTAGTTGTCCACATACTCTTAAATTCATTTATGGATCTTAACTTTTTCAATTTCTAAGTTCCTTATACTGCCACATTCTAATCAGCTGATATAGCGATGTCAATTAATAAACATTGTTTGATTAATTTTATAGTAGTTTATCTCATCAAGTTGATATGCATGGATAGCTCGATTGGTATTTAAAGGTGATGTTCTTTCGTTTGACACCTGATTTCGACCGATCTTCATAACATTCGCCAGCTGGCTCTACTCGACGATACTTCAACAATTTCTGCAGCTGGGCGAAATTCAAAATACTTTTTCCAGCTGAAGCGTAAAAGCTGTAAACAAGTGAACAATAGGATTAATATGCCCGTCTCATTGGTCAATCAGTGGTCATTCGACCTCTAAAAGCTGCTTCTCAATGTTCCTTAGATCATAACATGTGTTTGGAGCTTGGTCTCTTGAGCCGATATAATTATTATATAACTGATATAATAATAATAATGACTATTATTATCGTTATAATTGTTATTAAATATTTATTATTAATTGAATAATGCCGAAAACTCAGTGATCTTTATACATACTATCTGTAAACTCTACTTTGAATAAGTATAAGAAAAATAAACATAACAATAGTCATTATTATTGTTTAAACGTTTAATTAACTTTAATTGTGTTAATAACAATGATAAAAATAACTTGTAGAATTTAAAGCAAGATAAATAGAAAATAAAACAAACATTGAATGCATTGGTACGTAATAGAACCAAACGAAATAAAGTTACAAAATAAAATGAAATAATATGAAATAATTAAATTGAAATGGAACAATCTGATAGGTTGATCCATGGAGCCAGCCATCCAATGAAAACAAGGGACCACCAGGTGCTGGTCCAAGTAACTTCTACGCCCCACAAGTCGTTAGTGGTCCAATTTTGATCCATTTTAATGGATTAATTATTTAACCAATTAGTTAAATTTATGGTTAATTATTAGTCTCAATCCTGATTAACCCATTTTAATTGATTAATTAATTAATTTAATTTGTAAAATTATTAAAAAACATAATTAAAAATAATTTCAGGTTGTTCCAGGACCAAGAGGACCACCAGGACCGCCTGGACCGGCTGTGAGTTGTTTGGCCATAAAAAATTATTATGATCAAAAAATTATGAATAATTATGGAAACGTAAAAAAGTGAAATATGATGATATAAATAATAATAATAATAAATGAATAATTTTTTTAATTAAATCAATTATGATAAAAAATTCTTACAAATAATTAATTAGGCCAATTAGTACGCTTAATTAGTATCAAAGATGGCGTCTTTATCAATTAGAAAATTGAAAATAATATTTTTATTAAAAAATAAGCAAATGTAGAAAGAATTTAAAGAAATGTTTTGGCTGATTAATTAGCAATGATTAAATGTATAGTGGTTTATATGAATGATGTGGGATCATTCCCATAGGGACCAACGGGATTCCAAGGACCCAGGGGAGAGCCAGGAGAGTCCGGTGTGCCTGTAAGTTTGTTTGTTCATTCGTTTGTTCGTTCGTTTGTCTTTTCGTTCGTTCGTTCGTTTGTTCTGTTTTTTGTTCTTTTATTTCGTTGTTCGTTCGTTTGTTCTGTTGTTCGTTCATTTATTTCGTTGTTCGTTCGTTTGTTCTGTTGTTCGTTCTTTTATTTCGTTATTCGTTCGTTTGCTCGTTCGTTATAATATTGCCAACAGCAACGACAACAGCAAAATAAAAGACAATAATAGCAATAATAATTAAGTTAATGATAATATTCGTAAATAATAATAATAAATAATAATAAAAATAATAATATTGACCAGGGTGCCCAAGGTGCGAGAGGATTAGTGGGACCCGTCGGACCCCCTGGAAAAGATGTACGGCTGACTCTTTCTTCGTATTTATAATAAAAATAATAATAATTAAAATTATCATTATTATTATTTATTATTATTATATTTTTAATAGTATAAAAAATAATTATGGTTATAATATAATAATATTGTGAATGATAATGATGATGATAATGATGATGATAATATTGTTAGGATGATGATGATGATGATGATATAGTAAATGATGAAGACGATCATGATGATGTAGTTATGACGACTATGATCATGATGACGATGATGATGGTGATGATGAAATAGTGACGATGATGATGACGATGACGATTATGATGATGATGATGATGATGAAGAAGATGATGATGAAGAAGATGATGATGAAGAAGATGATGATGAAGAAGATGATGATGAAGAAGAAGATGATGATGATGATGATGATATAATAGCGATGATGATAATGATGATGACGACGAAGCTGTGGTTATATGATGATGATGACGACGATTATGATGACGATTAAAAAATTTCCAGGGAGAAGCAGGACTCGACGGAGAACAGGGAGCCAGAGGTCCCCCAGGAAATCCGGTACGTTGCAATTCCTTATGACGTCATCACCTCCACTTTCTACGTCATCACACTTGACTGTCATCCTTTAATTTAATTATGTTTACTTGCCACTTAATTACCTGATTAATTATCATTAGTGTAACCTTTTTCACCAGTTTCACGAGCGGTTTTCACGCATCTAAATTTAATGTAATCATGCTGCGTTGACGTCATCATCAAAATGTAATATCATCGTAAGGTGTTGACGTCATCTCGTCTTATCTGCACTCTTTTCAAATCGCTACCAATATTTCATCATCGTTAACCTGCCATTGCTATCACCGATGTTGTCGTTGTCATCATCATCCTCATCATCATCATCTTCGTCATCATCTTCTTTATCATCATCTTCTTCATCATCATCATCTTCATCATCATCTTCTTCATCTTCTTCATCATCTTCATCATCATCATCATTACAATCATCATCATCATTACAACCATCATCATCATTATCATCAACAACAAAACAGGGATCTCCAGGATCAGCTGGAGGCGTTGGAGCTCCGGGACCCAAGGGACACAGGGTAAGTTGAAATAATAATAATAATAATAATAAAAATAATAATAATAATAAAATTATTTTTTCAGGGATTTCCAGGTGCGACAGGAGCCAGAGGCGAACAGGGAAGGCAAGGCGAGAGGGTAATAATATTAACTTCATCACTCTTTCACTCTCTCTCTCTCTCTCTCTCTCTCTCTCTCTCTCTTTCTTTGGCTTTTTCAATTTTTTTGTTCTGTCTGTCTATAAGTATATGTCTGTCTGTCTGTCTGTCTGACTGTATGTCTGCCTGTTTGTCAGTTTGTCTGTTTTTTTTTCATGCACCTTTTTTATTTCCCGTATTCTCTACCTCTTTCAAAAACATTCTGTCATTTCCGTAAATTGATTGTGGCTTGTTAGTTAGTAAATTTATTAATGAATGAATAAATTAATTGATGAATAAATTAATGAATGAATAAATTAATTAATGAATAAATTAATGAATTGAATAATTAATCGCCCGCAAGGGACCTGATGGTGGACCAGGTGTCCCAGGACCCCAGGGACCACAGGTTGGAAATTATTTCCTGAATTTTTAATTGATTTTTTTATAATTTTTATTGACTGGCCAATCATTTAATTAGTTCTTAATTTAAGGTTGATTCTTAATTAGCCATTCAACTAATTATTCAATTAATTAGTTAATTAATTGAGTTGTATCGAGAAATTTGGTAATTGAGTGATACCAAGTAACTAGTCGATTTGTACGCACAATAATTTTTGTAAAACTCGCGGGATAGTCTAACGGTTAGAGCGCCTGCTTCAGCTGTCGTCGAGACTGGTTTCGAATACGAGGAGATCACCGCTGATCACATGCAGTGCGTGTGGTGATGCGTGCAGTTGAGCGTATTCATTAGCGCTACTCCAGAGAGTTATTAAGGAAATTATATTTTTGCTGATAATTATTATAATTATAATAATAAAGTTGTAAATTACGTTGCCACACTGGACAGGGGCCAAGAGGGCCTGCCGGAGAACGTGGCCCTGACGGAAAGAGTGGACCAGCTGTTAGTGGAAGTTGAAAGTCATTTTTATTTAAATTGCGAAATTTTTATCATCCATCCCAATTCAACAACAATCGGCGATTTGCGATATTATCACAAATATGTTTCAATCTACAACTTTACCTCAAATTAACTTTTCACAATTTGAATCTTTTTTTTTCATTTCCGAACCAGGGCCAACGTGGAGCCGATGGTCACCCAGGAAACGCAGGACCTCCAGGTCCCATCGGAGCCGCTGGCATTCCTGGAGTACCTGGATTGGCTGGAGCTAAGGTCAGTCCGCCCGATCATTCACAAATTAATTTGTTAATAAATATTTTTAGTTGTGTTTAAATAGACTTAAACGATGTATAAATAGTATATGTTAACGTACAAAGTGTACATTTTAATACGCCTTATAACAACAATTGAAAGAATTTATAACCTAACACGGGAAGACATGAAACTGCACAGCAATCTCACACGAAACATGGGATTGATGCATCAAAACATTCACACAAACACAGATTCATCCGTACGCAGAGCACATAACAAATCCGCTCACACAAAACACACACACGCACGCACAAATAATAAGCAATACACAACACGAACACACAGACTCACACACAACATACATACACACCAACAAACACATACAAACACACAAACGAACACACAAAACCAGGGAGAACAAGGAGCAGTTGGTGCCAAGGGGGCACAAGGAGCCCAAGGAATCATTGGTGCCCCTGGAGCTCAGGGAGAACCCGGTGCCAGCGGGAGAGCCGTGAGCATATTTCTTTCCTTTGTTACATTTTACATATTTTTATATTTATGTTTTTTAATTAAATGAAATAATAACAGTGGAGAATATATCGGTATGATGTTTTATTGATGTCTGATACGTACAAGCTCATTCTCACTCTCCCTCTCTCAATATCTACAGTCGTATCATTCTTAATTCCAATGTTTCAGCAATTATTGATGAAATAATTAATTAATTATACTTTTAACAAAATTGTGTTGAATTTTATAATAATTCATACATTTTTCGACCAGGGAGATCCAGGTGTGAACGGAGCTCCCGGAGAGAAAGGAGGAAGGGTTCGTTCATCCACCAATCGTTCATCTCACCAATCGTTCATCAATCACTTCATCTTTTTATTAATCGTTCATCATATTTTTAATCGAACCGTTCTTTTGACGTTAAAATTTTTTAAATAATTTATCTTTGGTGACATTCAAAACTAACTTACCCCCTCCAAATCCAAGCCGGCTAACGTCAACATTAAGATCACCCAATAATTACGCAGGGAGAGCCAGGTCAGCAGGGAGCTCCAGGGTTCCCAGGATCCGCGGGTGCGCCAGGAGCTGCTGGATTTCAAGGACCAGTCGGTGGAAAGGGAGAACCAGTAAGATCCGTTTTAGCTAATTCAAAGATTTTGTTTGTAGGGAAAAATTTTTTTTAAATTTGTTTGTTTTATATCGGTTCAATTTCAGAGATTTAAATTAGCGTAGTATGCAATATGATTTTTTCGCTGAATAAGATTTGAAAATTTAAAAAAATTTTTGGTATATAGATCGCCATGGTTTTATTGCAGTTATAATTGAATTGTGGAATGTTGTGGTTGAAAATGTTTTGCGAGACACACGTTTTAGTACTAAAATCGATAATGTTTTAAAAACAGGGTGCTCCAGGCCCGCAAGGACACCAGGGTGAAAAGGGAGCCCCGGGTGACCCAGGCAGCCCCGGAGAAAAGGGTGAAGAAGGCGTGCCAGGAGAGAGAGGCAAAAGAGTAAGTGATGATTTGTTGGAAATAACTTTTTTGTATTGATAAAATCAAAAATTTTTAAATTTCAGTATTTTATTTTATTTACTTATGACGGGTTTCACGTTATGTTGGATATACTTTACAGGGGCCACAGGGACTTCCAGGACCAGTTGGAGCCACCGGACCACGTGGAGAAGCCGTTAGTTTTTTCTACAACTCATTTTTCTCCACCTGATTTTTTCGCTTTCCACTATTACCTCTTTCGTTTTCATCATTCTCCGTCTGATTTTTATTTCATGTTCTCTCCATTGTCACAAACGCCTGCGGAATGCTTCGACCGCTTCTTTGCTGATTTTTAAACGATCTTAGTAAAAATAAATTCAGCAAAATGTTCTCACAGTACGCGCATTTTGTTCACGTGCTCTTGATAAAGAGCAATCCTATCAGTGAATGATGTGATAAAATTAAATGATAATCCATCCAGGGACCAGTCGGAGATAGAGGAGTTCCAGGTTTCGACGGAGCTTCGGGAAGTTCAGGAGCGCCTGGTCCAGTTGGCCACAAGGGAGAGGCAGGGCCCAAAGGACCACAGGTCACAATGTTGAACTTTATCATTTTAGTTCTTTGTTAGATTTACAATGTTGATAATAATTTCATGATAGTGACATAGATGAAATTTTTCTAAAGTCATTTATATAACTGAGACATTGAGATATTTAAAGTTATCATTCACTTGTAACATGCATCCACACACTAGAATCAATGCAAATTTGTGACCAAATTCTTCGTACTCAAACTAATTCAGCACACACACAAAGACTTGAGAACTAATGATTTAAATATTTTGCCTCATCCTAAACAAAGTAACATACAATCATCAACTGAGGTCTGCTTAATTTTGATGTGATCACAGGGTGACCAGGGTGCCCCGGGGGAAATGGGTGACATGGGATCTCCAGTTAGTTTTA